AATGGCTCCTCGTATCACATAGCGTGTTGTTTTATTCCCTTACTTATTTTAGCTTTTATTGCATTTTATCTGTTTTTACTTGTGTTGTTTTTATGTTATCATGTGAAGCACTTTGTGACTTTGTCTGTGAAAAGTGCTATACAAATAAAGTTTACTTACTTACTTACTTACTTGATTTTAATGATTGTCTTTTTACTCTGTTTTTAATGTTATGGTCTTTTAACCTTGTTTTAAATTTCCCTTTTTTTAAATGTAGCACTTTGTAGCACTTTGAGATTTGAAGTCAAATGTAAAGTGCGTTACAAATAAAATTCATTATTATTATTATTAACACAATAACTGCATCCTTTTTTGGATCTTGCAATCACCAAAAATAAGCAGGCTGATGTCTCTGAAGATATCTGTTAAATCCCTACTAAGTTAAGTTCAGTCAACCACAATTAATTATTGGATAACCTGCAACCCCTTGATCCCTTTTCCAATTTTTAAATAATTTCTACATATTTAAAAAATCTGTATTTTAGTGAAGTTCTCCAAGGACTAATCTAAAATGAGTAATTAAGCAATAAAATCCAGTGACCAAACTTCAAAGATTTTTGACAGTAGAAAGAGATAATCCTCATAAAGCTTTTAAAAAGCCCTTAGAAAGCAGGGTATAACAATTAGAGTTGTTTAAAATGCCGCAATAGATCTTAAAAGAGGTCATATGTAGTGATCAGCATAACAGAAATTTAAATTGGGTCAATTTTACCTCATGGGGAGCCTGGACATAGAAGCGTCAAAAGAAATGGCAAAGGCAGGAGAATTACTTTGAATGCAACAGATATTAATCTAATTCAAACAAGACCCCCACATGTGCATGTGTAAATAAAAGTGTCCATTACATGTTTGTGCATTTGGGGATGGGTTTGTTTGACCAGGACCAGGAATGGAGGCATCTGTCCGTGCAGACCTGGCTCTGTTTCCGGTTGTTTAGTCTGTTTGGACATTGAACCGCTGTGAGAGGGTATGCAGCTTTGTCGGTTTGGGAGTGTTTATGTCTGTAACTTAACAAGCACCACATAAACCCCTCACAGTGAAAGATAAATGCTTGACTGGATGTTTTGCAGAGTCAACAACAAGTTCTTTAAGCTCCCCTTTTGAGCTGGGATTATTTATTTAATGTTTCCTTCTGCAGCTTGACACCACTGAAAAGAATTGTACTCAAAGCATTTTTTAGCATTTGAGATGGACTCCTTTTTTCATCCACAATGTCTGTAGATAATATCAGTCAGAGGTGGGGTTAGGTGGAGGGAGAGTGTATCACTTACACCCAGAGCAAGAGACAGATGAGCAGAGATAGAGAGCAGTGTATGAAAAAGGAAGGATATGTTACTCAATTACTTATTGCCATCATTTGGTGGGCTGAGGAGAAAGCAGCTTTAAAGCTAGTGTTGCACTAAGTAGGTTTGATTAATGTGGAGCAGAGTGGTGGCACATGCTGCTCAGACGGAGGGAAAGTTGGAGCATCTCGTGGAAAACGAGGTTCTGATGGAAATCCCAGTAAAATGGCAACAGAGGAGGAGAGGAAAAAAATCAAACTTGAACATTTGTGAGGAGAGAAGGAGGCGGAAAGGGTTTGGAAAAGCATAAGAGTGAAGAAGGGAGGGGAGGCCAAGAGGAAGAACAGCAGAGAAAGAGAGGAGAGCTTCGAGGGAGGGTGGAAGGAGGTGTGATAGTGGGTGGGAGAGGAGGAGACAGTCTGGTGGATGGGCAAAAAGACAAAGGAAGAAGAGAAGAGTGACAGGGATCTGTCAGAGGGCTGGTTAAGGACGAAGAAACTAACAGATGCATGGAGATAAGACAGGCAGGCTCTCTGGAGAAGAGCACCAAGAAGTAACTCAGTGTTTTACAGAGAGGTAAAGAGGAGATAAGAAAGAGGGAGCATAAGATTAGGGGAAAAAGAAGAGTGATAGACTGTTAGACAACAGGGAGGAGGAAAGATCTGGATGAGAAAGAGAGTGAGAGAGGAGGGAGGCCGTGTTGTACGGCGCAAACAGCACACGCGTGGAGCTCATGTTAGAACGAACGAGAGGCAGAGAAAAGAAGGGCGGGAGGGTGGGAGGAGAGAGGGTAACATAGGGAGGGGGGGGTGAGGTATTTAAACGCTGGAGCAGGACATCTCAGGCAAAGCTCCGAACTCCCTGAGAGTGGAGGCAGGACAGGGGAAAAAAGAAGCTTAGGAACAGTTTTTCTGGCACACCTAAATATCACTGACAGGAAAAACACACACTCTCACACACCCACTTCTGGACTTGGACTCATCTGTGGACTCCACCACCTGTCCTCTGGAGCTCAACCTGTGCCTTCCTCGCTCCCAATCATCCCTCTAGTCACCTCCAGCTCCTCCAATCCCTCAGCCGCCCGCTTGGTGAGGGGGCAAATGGCCATGGTGCGGGCCTTTCTTGGGGGCGTTTTGGGCTGTGTCTGGCTTTCCCTGGCGCTGGGGAGCAGCAATGTGGATTTCGGGGCACCCCCGGCGAGCTTCTACCCCCGTTTTAACCCGTTCTTCTTCCTGTGCACCCATCACACGGAGATGGAAGGAGTCGGGGTGGCAGAGGGTGGTGGGGAGGTGTTGCTGACCCTCCAAATCACAGGAAGCCCCCCTACTTACACCCCTGGACAGGAGTATCAAGGTGAGCACGCCTTCTGAGGTGTCCTCTTTATTTTTATTGAGAATCTTAGTCTTTTTATATCACCAAAAATAAAAACACATTTGGATCCTTGGTAAATTCAGTAATCATGTTATTTTCACACCACAATGCATTGCTTTTTTATGGGATTTTACTACATTTTTATTTTTAAACACATTTGCTTTCACAAAACTGAAGATTTAAACTTAATTAAAATAATGGATACATTTCTCTCGACTACTAAATTTTAAATTTACATGAAGAATTGGAAGAGGAGGTTGTGAGCAACAATTTAACACATGCAGATGTTCTGCTTGTCAGTTTAGGTAAAGCTTTCCTGTATTCTGTTTTTTGCTGCTAATGGTTACCAGTTTTTATGTAACTGTAATCAGGAGTGATGTTTATGGGACTCCTCTGATTCAGCTGCTCTATGTGTAGGTGGCTCTGCACAGCAATAAACAATGCAATCCCTCCATCTGAATGAGAGCGTAAAAGTTGAGGGTGCAAATAGACAAACTGAGCCCGCAGAGTAGAAAGTGTTGTGCTTTATGATTCCAGTATAGATGTGATGAAGCTTGGAATATGAGAGAAATATAATAGTTATATTTCCCACATTGATTTGTTTGTATTTCCTCCCAGATTGCACAGCTCTGCTTGTTATTCTATTTGAGATGGTGACCCTTGCAAAGCAAAACTGGTGGACAAAAAGTCTGATTCCCATGCTTCTATCCTGCTTTTGTAATATATACATATATATATATTTTAATAAAGTGATTATATCTTAATAAATACAAAAAAATATATATATTTTTTAAAGTTTGGGCTATGTTCAAAAAAAGGAAAAGGAGGAATAAAAGTCAGCCTTTATCTGAGGCCAAGGTTTATAAGGAGTACGGGCAGGGAGAGATTTCAGTCAGAAGCTGGTGAGTAGGAGGGATAGAACGCAGAAAGAGAGGTTTAGATAATTAGCATTAGAAATGTGTTGGACTGGGAGGGGGGGGAGATTTAAACAGGGCCACGGCGGGGATCGGATGGTGTAGGGGGAGATTTAAATGACGATGAGGGGATTGAGCAGATAGGATACAGACAGCGGGGCTTGAGCTGGAAAGAATAAAACACTTTCAGGCTGCTCACTTTTTCCTCTTCTTCATGTTGTGTCACATGATCAGATGTCGGTGTCATTTTTATGGGGGTTTGTTTGTAAGAAATGAATGTAAAGCGAGTAAGTCGAATGTTTGACGCATGTTTGGGAAAACCAGTGCAAGCATCATTGTGTCTTCCTTCTTTCTAGGGTAGAAGTTTGAAGGAATCATATAATCAAAACCAGACATTTACACCCTGTTTAAAAAGACATTACATGTTATTCTAACTGTATGAATCAGGAAACTACATTAAAATATGGATGTTTTAGGGGAATTTGGAACAAGATTATTTGTGTTTGTTTAAAGCTTGATGGATTTTTCTTTTCTTTTCCTCAGTTATTATTATATCATATTATATTATTTATATTATTTTTTGTAGTTTAGTATTATGTATTATTATTGGCTTTAAAAAGTGTTAAAATTGTTTTTTTTTTGCTTCCCTTAAGCTTCTCATAATAGTTTGCTGTAATTTTGGCCCATTCCTCTTGAGATGTTACTGATGTAACTGAGGTTTGCAGGCTGCCCTGTTTAACCACACCCTTTCAGTTCTATGCATAGATTTTCTTAGCCTTGTGAGACCATCCTGATCTCGCGAGC